GATATGACAAAATAATAATATGTAAATTATCAAGTGTTCATGAGGGAGGGGGCAGCGGGGAGGGAAAAAATGAGGAGCTGATGCCAGGAGGGTAGGTGGAGAGCAAATGTTTTGAGAATGATGAAGGCATGAATGTACAAATGTGCTTTACACAATTGATGTATGTATGGATTGTGATAAGAGTTATATGAGCCCCTAATATAATGATTTAAAAAAAAAAAGACACATGGCGCTACGCTACAGCCCTGGAGCTGGAAGAGCCACGTGGAAATCCACACCAGTGCTGAGATGCTTCCACCTCCACTGGATCCACAAAACCTTTTACCTACTAGCCTATGATCTTCCTGCATTTGGCGTCATTGCATGTGTTGTGTGAGTCTGAAGAGGAATTTATAGATTGCTACTAGGCATATGGGCTAATACTGGACTTATAGAATTGATCTGGGCTGGGATGTTCTCATAATATACAATTATTCTTTATTTAAAGCTCTTTCTTATACAGAAACAAAAAATGTGCCGGAAAAACTCAGGCTTTACTCGAGTATATACGGTATTAGATGTTTGTATTTCTGGAATATAAGCAGATAATATTTCAGAACAGCAAGAACCTTAGAAATCATCTAATTCAACTCCTACAGTTTAGAGGAGGTAAATGCAGATGGGTTATTTAACTTGCTCAGTATCAGCTAGCCTAGTAGTGGTAAACCAGGGACTAGAATTCAGTCCTAGAGTTTAATGTCAGTCCGTGTCCCCTAAGCATGTGCTACTTCTACTACTGTTAACTTCTGTCAGAGAATGGAACTGAGAGGCCCCAACAGTCATGTAGCCACATGAATGACTCTGGTTCTCATTTGGAGTAGATAACTCCTGGAAAGAGGCCTGAGAAAAGTCATGATAACTTTACCTGTTTTGCTGCTGCTGAGGCCAAGTCACTCTGCTTCAAATACAAAGGGGCCGCTACATTCCACAGCTTTTCCTGCAAGGCCTGCACAGATAGCATGAGAGAATGCAACTCAGAAATCACCAAGGCTGAGATATCATTTGAAATTTCTATTTTGTTTTGTTTCGAAAATCTATCATGATCAGAACTCTCAAATTTTAAGCCAATAAGCCTACTGTAATAAGCATACTTATTACAGAGAATGGGGAGTTGGGACCTACCTATTCTATTTGATTCCTGGCCCAAAAGACCCATGTTCCACACCAATGCTTGGAAGCAGACAGTACAAGCCACAAAGGAGTCTCAATAGAAAGTTCAGTCAAACCAGCTTCCTAGCCTCTGGGCCTCTCTTGTTTCCAGCACCACCAAACTACTCTGAGTTTTCTAGACTTTTCTTCCATAACTCAGGCTCTTTTTTTCTTTGCCCATGCTCACTAAATAAACAGCCCCATCACCTTTCTGATACACCCCCAACTGTTTCCTTCTTTGAATCTTTCTACATTCAAACTATCACAAAGAGTCATGGGTTTCATCCTCATCTTTGCTCTCTCATACATTCGCATGGCTTCCTCTCGCATCTCCTCTAAATTTCTGATGTAGACTCTGGAGCCTTCAAATTACAGGTGCAATTAGTAGCATGACAGAGAGCCTAGATCAACCAGTACTGTCCAGTACAAGTATAATGTGAGCCACATATATAATTTCAAGTTTCCAGGAAGAATATTAAGAAAAACAGGTGATATTAATTTCAATAATATAGGTTATCTCACTATCTTCATGCAATCGGTATTCTAAAAATTGGGATCACATCTTTCTGAAAAGAAGTCTACAAACCACTTCTCAATTCAAACTGCCCCCATTTCAAGCGCTCAAAAACACATGTCGTTGGTGACGACTGGAAAGTGGTGCCTGTTGGAAGTGGCAGGTTTATAGTACAGAAAGTTTAAAACCACCCAAATCATACTGTCATTAACGGAGTCATTGCTTTTGAATATTCATTCAATATTTTTTCCATATACATGCTTTTTAAATATAGCTGTTGTCAGAAAATATAACTACTTTTGTTCTCTTTTTGTCAGGCATAACATAAGCATTTTGTCATGCTATAAAATAATGTGATAAAATCATCCCTGGCTATCAAATATACTCTTGAGTAGGTATGCCACAATTTATTTATTATCAAGTAAATGTCTGCCTTGGGTTCTAAGTCTGAGCACCTTTTCTACCCTGCCATTCCTTGACACTGAATAATCCAAACAGTACTCCTTTTTCTTTAGATGTAATTTCCTCCTCACTCACCTTTTGCCACTCAGAAAATGAATTCTTTTCAAAGGACTTCTTCTATCCCTATGAGGAAGACAGGAAGCCAGGGGGCCAGGAAGAAGAGCAGCACCGGCATGGAACTCATGACGAACCAGTCACAAGGACAGGGAGTCTCCCACACATTGCTTTTCACCAACCCTTAAACTATAAGCCTTCACAGAGACTTGGAAAAGCCAAGCAACTTTTCAACAGGCATGAGGGAACTTCCAGAGTGAGGCGTGCATACATACATACATGTGAAAATATATTCTCTAACAAGAGCTGTTTGAATTTCAACTAATCCCCAATTTTGCTTTTATCTTTCACAAACAGTGTACATACCCAACAATGCATACACCCACATTTCCGTGTGCGCATATCTGATCTGCACAACCCTTAAGTATAACATTTAGCTTGAGCTCACACATCTTACAGTAGAAAATAATTTGACTCAGTCATTTGTCAAACAACACTAATCACTTTTAAGCCTAACATCTGGGACTCAAGCCAAAATAAAGGCTTATCAAGTGGGAAGGGTTCCCTACAATCCTGAGCCTAAATTTGTGGTAGCAATCTGCAGCCAAAGCTCAAAGCTACTGAACTGGTTTAATTGGTTTTTAACTCAATAAACTGAAACAACTTCATAGATTATCTGACTTAAGTCTTAAATGCTAGTAAGTTGTTCCTTTAAAAGCAATAAAATTAACCTTTAGACTCTGGCAAACTGCAGCAAACATTTAAGAAAATATTTTTGAAGTGTATATAAGTCCTTTGCTTAGCAAACACAAGGGGGTATCAAAAAGTTCATGGAAAAATGGAAGGGAAAGATAATGGAATTTTCTCCAGGAACTTTTTGAAGCCCACCCTTATGCAAAATATTTATAATCCTTGGGATTCTAATGAAAATGATGATCTGATATGCCCTAATTGCAGTCGTGAAAGAATTCTTCCGAAATGTAAAACTCCAAATGCCCACGAGTTAATATTCCTTTAGTTGGAGATAAATATAAACATACTGTAAAGTATGTAATCTCTCCATTTCTAAGTGGCTGACTAAGTCATGTTTTCTTACTATGGCCTCAAACAAAGGTAGGTCCTTTATTAAAGTGTATTCTTAGCATCAAAACTGCAGACAAAGTGGATCACAACCAACCTTGATAAGAAGAAGTTGACACTGAAGATAGGTAGCAGAGAAGTCAGCTACTCCTGCCAATTCAGACTGAAGTTCTCCAAGTCTTTGCAGATCCCTGCAGTAAATAAAACCCCAAACTAAACCCAGGATAAAGGGAGTGTCACCAACACAGAGATCCCATTAACAGCAGTGTACAGCTTTGTATCTAGTACATTGATCACAGGTAGTTCAATGACAGCACTCGTGCTGGATTATGATGAAACTGGTTCACTCATACTTTGACAGCAGTTGAAACTGATACTCTTTGGGAAAGCAAAACTAAACTAGGTTCTAAAGGCAAATATACAGTCAATAATTTTAATCAAAAGTTTCATGGCAAGAAGTAATACTAAGGGAAATATTCAACAGAAATGAAAGAGTTAATGCGCCATAATATTCTTATATGGACTATTATAGTTAAACCCCAGTTGCTACTCCAATATCAAATGGTATGGGAACTGCTAAACTAGGGTACATCCAGTTTGGAATACTCTACAGCCATTACAATTCAAATTGTAATAAAGCATATCACCTACCTAAAAACTGCATGTAGGAGAAAAATACAGCAAAGAGCTTTCTGGATAGTGGTATTATGGTGCTCTTTAGAGTCCTTGCTCAACTGAGCTTTGTTTTCCAAATTTCTCATACAATAAGTATATATATAAATATATATATAAATAATCAGAAAATAGCCTTAAAAAATAGGTACTGTGATGGGTGGGCACTGCTGGTTACCTACTTAGCCAATTTCGTCTTCTTCCTCACTGACCAAATTCTTTTTTGTTTGAAGGATGGTGTCCCCAAACCCAGTGACAGGCAGATCCTGACTGGCCTAAGGCAATCAGTACATGCCATTTCCCTGGCTATGTGACCTAAGTTGGCCGAACCAATCCAAATGGAAGGGCTTGCATTCTGTCCTTGGAAGAGGGTGGGCATTCACTCATTTGGCTGAACAAGAAAATGTATAGCCTGATTGCCATTTGCAGTCACGCTGTGATGCTTACGATAAATCCAAAGCTGAGGACAAGAGAAATCCAGAGACAGGAAGAAACTGGGTCCATAATAATATAACTGAGTAGCTGATCATACCACACTTAAAACAGCCCTGCCCCTGATTTTTTTTTAAGTCATACAATTTTTAAAAAATCATTTTATTGTGGCTCATACAACACAACACAATCCATAAATACATCAATTGTGTAAAGCACATTTGTACATTCATTGCCTTCATCATTCTCAAAACATTTCCTCTCCACTTAAGCCCGTAGCATCAGCTAATCCCCCCCTGCCCCCCGCTTCTCTGGCCCTTACCCTTGATAATTTATAAATTATTACTTTGTCATATCTCACACTGTCTGACATCTCCCTTCACCCAGTTTTCTGTTTTCCACCCCTCAGGGAGGAGGTTATATGTAGATCCTTATAACTGGTTCCCCCTTTCCACTCCACCCTCCTTCTACCCTCTCTGTATCACCACTCTCAGCACTGGTCCTGAAGGGATCATCTGTCCTGGATTCCCTGTGCTTCCAGTTCCTATCTGTTCCAGTGTACATCCTCTGGCCTAGCCAGATTTGTATGGTAGAATTAGCATCATGATGGGGATGGGGGGGAAGGAAGCACTTAGGAACTACAGTAAAGTTTTATGTTTCATCATTGCTACACTGCACCCTGACTGGCTCATCTCCTCCCCGAGACCCTTTTGTAAGGGGATGTCCAGTTGCCTACAGATGGGCTTTAGGTCCCCACTCCCTCTCATTCACAATGATATGATTTTTGTGTTCTTTGATGCCTGATAACTGATCCCCTCAACACCTCGTGATCACACAGGCTGGTATGCTTCTTCCATATGGGCTTTGTTGCTTCTGAGCTAGAGGGCCACTTGTTTACCTTCAAGTCTTTAAGACCCCACACGCTATATCTTTTGATAGCCAGGCACCATCAGCTTTCTTCACCACATTTGCTTTGTCTTCAGCGATTGTGTCGGGAAGGTGACCATCATGGAATGCCAGTTTAATAGAGAAAAGTGTTCGTGCATTGAAGGAGTACTTGAGTGGAGGCCCAATGTCCATCTGATATCTTAATACTAAACCTAAATCTTTCCCCATCCTCATATATAAATATATTTACATATGTACATGCCTTTATTTAGACCTCTATAAATGCCCTTTGCCTCCTAGCTCTTTCCTCTATTTCCATTGACTTTCCTCTTGTCCCAGAATCATGATCAGCCTTCATTTGGGTTTCAGTAATTTATCTTGGTTACATTACCCTTGGTCACGCCCTAGCAGGCCTCCTACACCCTCCTCCCCACCGATTTGGACCACTTGTTTTTCCCTTGTCCCTGGGTTTGTTAACACCACTTCCTTTCTCCCCAACTCTCCCTCTCCCATGACCCCCCAGAACTGCCAGTCCCATTGTTTTCTCTTCCAGATTGTTCATCCAGCCTATCTTATTTAGACAGACCTGCGGAGATAATAACATGCACAAAAACAAGATAGAGCAAAGCAAAGCAACAAAAGAAAACAAAACAACAATGACAAAAATTAAAACGATAACAAAGAAAAGCCTATAGTTAGTTCAAAGACTGTTTGTTGGCCTTTAGAAGCATTTTCTGGTCGAGTCTGATGGGGTGCCAAACCCTGGCCCCAAAGTCTATTTTTGGTATTCCCTGGGGACTTAGTTGCTCTGTTCCCCTTGCTGTTCTGTTGTATGCCCTTATTGTTTTACCTCGGTGTTGGGCCCCTGATTTCTTGTAGGACAAATTAGCCACTTATAAGCCAGTTGAAATAATTAGCCTTTTAGAAGTTCATTAAAATACAGTTTTGATATCCATAATTAAAAGCATCCTAATTGGTACAGGCAATAAAAATCCCGTGGATTATTAAAAAAAATGAGAGTCTGATACAGCGCTGGAAGATGACCCACTCGGTTGGAAGGCATTCACAAAGCAATGCCACTACCAGGCAGAGTACTGACTGTAGCTGGCACGGGCCGAGCAACGTTCTGTTCTGCTGTGCAGTCACCATGAGTCAGAGCTGCCTGAACAGCAACAACTGATACTGAGGTAATACTGTAATGATGGCAATATGAAAACAGATCTGCCTACAAATATAAACCTAGGAAAGGGATGCCCAATGGTGACTTCGAAAACTTAATATTTAGAATACGTAATTCATACACACACCTACGGTACGGCATTCAAAAGGTACTAAAGGATATGCAATTAAATTAGTCCCTATTCATATTCCTGTGACTTGCTACCCACAGGCCACCACCATTAATAAATTCTCCCAGAGATACACTACACATACAAAAAAAGGTGGGTTCTTTTCTTCATCTTTGGGGGCTATTAAAAAGGCTTTTCTCCAGGTTGTCTCCCCCAAATAAATGTCAGGCCTAGGACACTGCTTGCAACACATATATAGTAAATAATTGTAGCACACATAGAAGTAAGCTGGTTAGAAGTGATCTCCCTGAAGGCATCAGCCATCCAGAGCAATCAGACTACTGTCTGGTCCACCATAGATGGGGCTCACACCCTACTGATAAGGACAGTGGATTGCTTTCTTGAAGGAGAGCCCAGAGAAATGGTCTACCCAGGTCAAGGACAATCAAGTTTAAGTTGCCATTTGAATCTAGGATCTGCTCATCTTGTCATGTGTACCCCTAATCCCTCCTCTTCCTATTGCGTGTATACCCCTAGATCGTCCCCCTCCCATTGCTGTATTGCCTATGATACTACCCCTTCCTGTGACATATGTCCTTACCTGTAATCAGGGGGCTTGTACGCTCCTAAGTATATATAAGCCTTGGTTAGAAATAAATCCTCTTCCCTCTCCTCTCTCGTCCTCTCATCTCCCACCTCCACATGGACCACCAAGAGGGGCTGAGGTGAGCATGCTACCATGAAATGTGTCTGACTCCTTTCTTTCACTCTCTGTCCTATCTCTCTTATTCTCTATTACCTTACTATGATCTTTATATGCCATCGCCGTACATTTCTTCTTTGGCAGTAGAGGTGGGGAGGTATTACCTAGTAATCCATTTCAGGAAGCATTCATATAAAGTTGCTTCACTCTTTCTGATGACTACATGATTTTATGTTATACTACATGGATATAAAGGAGCCCTGGTGGTATACTGGTTATGCATTATACTGCAATCGCATGTCTGGCAGTTCAAAACCACCAGCAGCTTCGAGGGAGCAAGACTGGGCTTTCTACTCCGGTCACGTCAAGTCAGCATCGACTCTGAGAGACAGGATAGCCACTGTAATCTATACATGGTAAATGCACAGCTCCCCCACCAGCCATGCTTCAGAGACACTGTAAAAACTGGGTGATTCAATGCGACTATTCTCAAAGTCAATGACATAACGTATGTAAAAAGGGAGTGCATTGTGAGACAGGACATGCAACCCAGACTCAGTGCCACTGAGTCAGTTCTACCATTTAACAACCCTAAACAGGGTTCCTGAGGCTGTGAGTCTATAGATGAGCAGTCTCCTTTTCCCCCAGTGGCAGGCAACAGGTCTGGTTATTTCAAGGGCAGCACAGCCTTATAAAAGTGTCAAGTCTGTAATTCTAGATGTGAGCTATGGCCAGAAGATAATTCTATCTATAAAAATCTTAGAAGACTTCATTTCCAGTTAAGCTACTATAACTAAAGTTTTCAACAAATATTTACTAAGCACCTATGAGATAACCAAAGTACAGGAGTGAAAACAATGTAGCTATGTCAAAATCTAGAAATAACGACAACAAAAGATAAAAATAAAGATCATCTTCCAGGGCTCTCACTGCCCTGCAATTGACTTCTTATCAAGAAAGATCTTGGTTGGATTACATGGCTGGCCGGGATCAGAGCAAGGGCAGTATGTATGAGGGAGAAGTTAGTTTATTTGTTTTAAGCTAGAAGTAGTACATGTACGACCTTAGACCTCATCCGAAAACCTTTTGTATGAACCTGCAACTCTTATTTCACTTTCCAGTCCCTAGAGGAATATTCAGTTAGTAAAAGCCCCAGGGATCACCTGTTCCTCACTCCTGCCTGATACAGAAATCCCTGTCACTGCTG